TTGGATGTTAATGTGTTTATTGAAGGGGAACAAACTGCCATCTAGGCTCATCTTTGTAGCCTGGCTCAGGTTTTATGAAGTAGAATTCCCCCGAGTGTGATGGAGCAGACAGTCATTGTCTGACCGGTGTCTAGCCTGATGGTCTTTTAATGTCTGCATCTTGTGAAATGGCTGGTTGTCTTTTGATAGAATTCGTTTTCCTCTGGGGAGTTCAGTTTGTTCCATTTTGAACCCCTCAAGAACGATCTGGAAGCAGAAAAATCCTCTTCAAAATGTAAAATGTTTAAAGTATGACTACAATTTGAATACATTTTAGGTAATAAATGTGCAATGGTTTTCATTACAATATAGACTTTGTTTTTTGTATTTTGGCAAAAGAGATTTCGCTACTTTTTCTGCAAGTTAAAGATGTCGTCGTTTTTGTACTGAGATTCTACTTCTTTTTTTTTTTTTAATAGCACATGCAGTCCTTTTTATGTGACTTGTGAACTGTATGTCCACGGTTTAGTATTGTGCTTCCTCATTACAGCTCAGTTTGTCTCTTGTTAGTTTATAGAAAAAGTATGTACATGGTTATCGGTTACTAAAGCAGTAGATTGTGAAGTATCATTTCTATTTTTCCAGCATGGGCCTTAAACTGGCCATAAATGATTTGCTTGTTTTTTTTTTTTTTTGGTTTTCCTTTTCATTTGAGCAGCTAGCTGAATAAAAAGAAACCGATTCCTCCATTCACACAAACAAGGTGGATGGAGGAATTCCTGTCCCCCCCATGTATTCTGATAGGTGGGACTCTCTGCTAATCAAGAAAAGTTTTCCATTTATTCTGATAGTGGGGACTCTGCTAATCAAGAAAAGTTTTCGAGCTTGTCATTTCGCCAGAAGTCGATCTGATGATTGACTTCTGTGGAAAGGAGATGGACACACGAGAGTCCATCTGTGCTTGCTGAACCGGCTAAATATCAGTCTGTTTATGGCCAGCTTAAGTGGCCAGAAATTTTACTGTAAAATCATTTTAAACAATTCAGAAGGGATTTTTATGGAACATGCAGTTGATGTTAGTATATCTACTTTAAAGCAACAGTTAACCCTGCTGCCCTTGGCCTACTCCAAACCTCAAAATGTGTGTTTTTCCTGCTCAGAGCTGACTTCCTGTTAGAAGGTGGCTATGTTCGTTCTCCATAGTCCCACTGTACGAAAAAACAAGGCCATCCTCTCTTGCTCACTCTCAAAATAGAATAGGGACAATGAACTATGGACTATGGCAGTGGTCTCCAAACTGTGGCCTGAGGGTCGGATAAAGGCTAGCAAAGGACCTCACCTGGCCCTTGGGGCTTATTCTTCCCAATTATACAAGGCACTATTCCTCCTACTGACCCCAAAATGGCACATAGTTCCTGCCACTGACACTAAAGATGGGGACTGTTTTTCCCACTGATATCAGTGATGGGGCACTATTCCTCCTACTGATGCCAACAATGATGGGGTGCTGTTTCTTCCACTGATACCAGTAGTAGGGTACTATTCCTTCCAGTAGCACCAGCGATGAGACACTACTCCTAATGACCACCAATCCTGAGGCAATGTTTATCCTTTCTGATGCTGGGCCTGGGACATTTTCTATTCTGAATGGCCACAGTCCAGCCCCCCCTAAAGTCTAAGGGTCGGTTATCTGGCCGTTTGTTTATAGAGTTTGGAGACCCCTGGACTCTGGGATGTTTAGTGTGCATAGAACAGTGCACATGACCACAACTAAAATTCATTGCTCAAAACAGTAATAAGGGGGGGGGGGGGGGGGTGGAGAGTTTAAGGCGCTCAGGATGGACATATCAAGGAAGTAGAAAAGCACATTAATAGACAGTTTTGTGAGTAATAGGTTACATGGCCATTAAGTAGTGGATGTGCATGGATTCTATTGGAGAATATAGATATTGTTTTGTGCCAATTTAAAGCGTTATTAAACCCAAAACCAAGAATATACCATATTGCAGCTTACCAAGCATTAGATGGCTGCATTAATTTTCTTTTTCTTCCTCTGTTTTCATCTGGTAATCTGGCCAATAACACATCTAGATGAAGGAGCACCAGGGGACTGCAGCAGTGGGTTGTTTTACTAAAGACAAATAGACTGTGCACTTGTGCAGTTGCACTCATTTTCCTTAGTAAATATAATGTTGTAAAGCTTCACTTTACTGTAAAGAATACCAAATCAAGTGCAAGGAAAATAAAAACAGCAATTTTGCTTGCAGATAAGATGGAAATCAGCAAAGCTTTACCTTATTTACTAAGCTGTGGGGAAAATGAATACAACTGCACTTGCACAGTCTATTTGCTTTTTAGTAAATCCCCCCCTCCTATTGTCAGTTTGGGGGGAGATGTTAGATGTATTAGCAGATTCAAATACACTAACAAATTGAAGCTGAACTCCAGCTAATACTTTATAATTACTGTACAGCAAACAATTTTTTTTCCTTTTGGGCTAAAGGTTTTACATAAATAAAAGCTGATCATTGTAAGCACCCCTGCTAGTGTTAAATGGCTTGTATCATCTCTGTAACTGATACATTCTGCCGGAGAGCTTGTTCTTTTGAAAAAACAACCGACTTAGTGGCTGGATCACCAGATGGAAATAGAAGAAATCCTAAAAAAAAAAAATAAATGCAGTCATCACATCTAACAAATGGTAAACTGCAAAAAAATAAATGTTTGCTTTTGGGTTTAATACCACTTTAAGAGAGTGAAAGCCATTAATACATTACTGGTTGTATTGTGCATAATAAGCCATTTTTATATCGCAGGATCTGAACAGATAAAAGCATTACATTTATTTATGATGTATTGATCAGGAATCCTCTTGTGGATGGTTTAATTTGGATCTAGAGTACGATAACAGGCCTTTGTCTATTGCCAGCTGCCTTAAATAGAACTCCAATATTCGCACAGGTATAAATGTAGATGGACACAGATTTAAGTTTGCTGTCCTTGTACAGCTGAATGTGAATTATTCTCCATTTTTAGCTATTTTCTTGAAATTTCACTGGTATAACTGATAGCAAGTCAGCTGTGCAGTTAAATATCTACAGTCTTGATTAAAGCTTTATCTCATTTTCCACCCCGATAAGTTTCTAAACTTATACCGGCATTTGAAATTGTTACTAATATTCTTGTTTGTATAGTAAAACATTCAGAGGTAAAAATGGTGGTTTAACACCTTCATGGCAATAATGATCTGACAAAGCATAGTTTACTATATACTACTTTGTATTTAAAGAAGAAACTCCATTTTTGTTCAGAAAAAAACATTCCTCTCTGGGTAATCAATGTACATTCCAGGATTTTAACAAACTTTGCAAATGGACACACAAAGCTATTTTTTTCAGCATAAAATAAGGTAAGAATCTGCAGCAAAGTGAATGGGAGTGACTTTATAATTCTCAATCAGCTGCTGCACTTGCAGGGTTCTATGTGTAAAATAGTTCTGTGCACCAGTTAAAAAAAATAAATAATGCATTAGCAGTTTTGAATACAATAAATTGAATCCAAACTCCAGCTAACACTTTATAAACAGTTACAGCAAACTGTTTTTTTTCTGCTTTTGGGATAATGGTTTTACATGAATAAATAGATTATTTTAGTCACCTCTGCCAGTGTTGAATGGTCTTATTTGTGTAAACGGATACATTCTGCTGGAGAGCTTTAGCTTCTGAAATACAGCAGAGTTACTGGTTGAATCACCATCTGAAATTAGAAGCGAAAAAGTAATTCAGCCTTCACATCTATGAACTGGTACGCTGCAATATAGTAAATGTTTGCTTTTGGGTTTAATACTTCTTTAACACATTAAACCTCTTAAAGTTCAAATTGCGCCCCTGTGAGATCAGTAAGATCTGTGTTTGGCCAGCTGGACTCTCCTCGGAGATCACAATATCCTCCTCAGTACTCCAGCAGTCACAACAGCTAATGTATTGGAAGGTAGATCAGTGCTCAAAAACATAAGACTACCATAGTGCTCAGTGTATTTTATTTTTAAAACCAACATAAAACTGCACTCGCATGGTAAAAAAAATGGTAAACCACATATATCACTTTAAAAATCCACCTCTAATGCTTCTAAATGCAGATGTCTATGGTTACTGCAATGTCGATCTCCCTTCAGCAGCTGTTAAATCTCTCTCCACCAATCTTCGTATAGCCATGCGTACATGCATTGTATTTGACAATGTAGCCAATAAAGTCCTTTATTTATGGTTGACACTGAGTTGCCGGCTTCATTTACCTCTAAATATTACACTAGTGTGGAGCTACTAAAGCCTGGTCACCAGTTCTTCCAGCTCCTGGATTTGTCATGGTTGAGCAATGCTAATCTGTTCCATATAAAACTATTTCCTACCTGCTTGATGTTTGTTTGACATCATATTAGGAAATATAAGGTTCATAGGAGTGTAGCTGACCTGCACAAACAGCCAAGAAAATCTTTCAGAGAGATGCAAGGTGAACTCCGAGGTCAAGGTACAGATGTGTCTGATCACACCATTGTTGCTGTTTGAGTGACAGTGAGCACAAAGGAAGAATGATCCAGGAGGATTCCACTGTTCGTCTCCAAAGTTAGACTGGAATTTGCTAAAATGCATATTGATAAGCCACAGTGCTTCTGGGAGAATGTCCTTTGGACAGATGAGTCAGAGTTGGAGCTTTTTGACAAGTCACATGAGCTCTATATTCATAGATAGAAAAATTAAGCTTTCTCCGAAGAGAACACCATACCTACTGTGAAGCATGATGGAGGCTCTATTGCACAGAGCAGATGAGTATAACATAATTATTTAAAAAAAAAATAAAAACACTGATGTTTTACAATTACTTAACCTCCCTGGCAGTATTCCCGAGTGTAGCTCGGGGTAAAGTTTCAGCACCAAAAGCGGTAACCCCGAACTACACTCGGGATTACCTTGCAGCGCTGACCCGGGATCCCTTCTTCACTTACCTTGTCCTGCGCTCCCGCGATGTCCCCCCTGCAGTGTCTCCTGCAATGTCCTCCGGCATCTGTCTTCTGGGTTCCGTTCCCTGCGACGTCTGGACGTATGGGGGACGGAACTGGCGGGAAATCTGAAAGTTGTAAAAGTGACATTCACTAAAATCACATAGTAAAACATTACTGTATCAAACCATTTCACATACATTTTGTCCCGAGTGCTTTGTCCTGTGTCCTGCCTGCATTTTTACTGTTCTTTCTGCCTGGAAACTGAGAAAAGTCCATGGCGTCCAAAAAGTGTCCCTTTAGGTCCAAAGCGGTTTTAGACCGGCTAGAGAACAGATAGTAAATTCTGAATCACTTGCAGAATTGAGTGATAATGATTCGTGGGAAAATTTGTCATCAGACACTGAAAATTATTTTGCGACTTTGCTCAGTGATGTGAGAACTTGGCGCTATATTTCAAATTTCAGTGTTTTTGGTTTGATTATATTATTTAATTACATTTATTGTTATTATATTATTTTTTATGATTATTTATTATATTATTTATGATTTTGTGTTTCAAATTTTAACATACCCGGGATGTTTACTAGACTCTTGTTCGGACAGATTTCAGTGAGTTATTCCTAAAAATTACAGGCCTGCAATAAAAAAAAATTTCCATGCAAAAAAAGTACTGCTTTGAGCACAGAAATACTGACATAATCAGACCGCTAGGGAGGTTAAAGGCCTCGTGTACACTGGATGGTCTAGCTCCAGTGCATGAGGCTCTGGCTGACAGCTGCTGTGGTTGGATAGTGCACTTGGTGGTACTTATGTCTAGGGCAGTATGCGCCCAGGGACAAATGCTCAGACCCTACCACTAGGTCCACCGTCCAGCTGCAGCAACTGTCAGTTTTTCTTTGAGTCTTGCAGGGAGGCTGGATGAGCACCTGTGCCCTCTGCTTGAAGTTGGAGCCTCATGCATTGGGGCTTAAAGGAGGCTTTATTCTGCTGTTGGCTGAAAATGGGTCACAGGAGTGCAGAACAAACTGCACTCTTGTGATCAGTAGAAGTACAGGAAAAAAGCCTTGGCCATACTTCAACTCATTAGGTACCTACAGATGCCAACTGCTCTTACGCAGAGCATTTGTTTGGAAGTATTAGTTTCAAATATACATTTGTTTTTTATAAATTAGGTGAATGCTTATAGCTAACAGAGCTAATGTTTGATACTTTTTGAGGTTTTGCAGAAATGCAGTTTGTCAGAGCTTTTTTTTGTGGTTCTAATAAGATGCAGTTTTTTATTTTATTGTCCTTTAATCTCTGCTTTGTAATGATCCATATCTTTTATTGATTATTCATGAAACCCCTACCATTTTATTGTCATGTTCTTTTAATGTCCCTAATTTGCTATTAGGCATTTGTTTGTCTGTGAGTTCATGCGGAGCTGTGTGTGCAGAGCGTTTAGGGGTCAAAGCATAGAATGTTCTGCTGCAGCATGGATTCTAGCTGTGCCCTGGGCTCTTGTTAATGGGTTGAAAAAGTTGAGAGTATATTTTAGAACCGTGATATTGAGGTTAATGGAGAACAGATGTGCCAGATGGCTGTGGCACGATGAAATGGATTGTTCTATAGTAACCAATTTGATTAGTTACAGAAACAGTTAAAGTTGGTCTCTGGCATCATTTTTAGAATTGAATATAAAATTAAATCCACCAGACTGTCAGTCCATCTGTCAATGAATCTTTCTACCTCTGTATTCTGATATATCTACACTTAAATACACTGCTCAAAAAAATTAAAGGAGCACTATGAAAACACATCAGATCTCCATGGGGAAAAAATCTCATGCTGGATATCTATACTGATATGGACTGGGTAATGTGTTAGGAGGGTTTCATGGAAATTAAAATTATCAACCTACAGAGGACTGGATTCAAAGACACCCTGAAAATCAAAGTGAAAAAATGATGCAGCAGGCTAATCCATTTTGCTGAAATTTCATTGCATCAACTCAAAATGGTACTCAGTAGTTTGTATGGCCCCCACGTGCTTGTATGTATGCATGCCTGACAATGTCAGGGCATGCTCCTAATGAGAGCATGGATGGTATCTTGGGGTATTTCCTCCCCGATCTGAACCAGGGCATCACTGAGCTCCTGGACATTCTGAGGTGCAACCTGGCGGCGTCGGATGGACCGAAACATAATATCCCAGATGTGGTATATTGGATTTAGGTAACGCGAGCATGGGGGACATTCAGTGGTATCAATTCCTTCATCCTCCAGGAACTGCCTGCATACTCTCGCCACATGAGGCCGGGCATTGTTGTGCACCAGGAGGAACCCAGGACCCACTGCACCAGGGTAGGGTCTGACAATGGGTCCAATGCTTTCATCCCGATACCTAATGGCAGTCAGGGTGCCATTATCTAGCCTTTAGAGGTCTGTGCATCCGTCCATGGATATGCCTCCCCAGACCATCACTGACCCACCACCAAAACGGTCATGCTGAACGACATTACAGTCAGCATAACCTTCTCCATGGCTTCTCCAGACCCTTTCACGCCTGTCACATGTACTCAGGGTGAACCTGCTCTCATCTGTGAAAAGCACAGGGCGCCAGTAGTGGACCTGCCAATTTTGGGGTTCCATGGCAAATGCTAATCAAGCTCTATGGTGCCGGGCGGTGAGCACAGGGTCCACTAGAGGATGTCCGGCCCTCAGGCCACCATCATGAAGTCAGTTTCTGATTGTTTGGTCAGAGACATTCATACCAGTGGCCTGCTGAAGGTCATTTTGTAGGGCACTGGCAGTTCTCCTTGCACAAAGGAGCAGATACTGGTCCTGCTGATGGGTTAAGGACCTTTTATGGTACTGTCCAGCTCTCCTAGAGTAACTGCCTGTCTCCTGGAATCTCCTCCATGCTCTTGAGACTGCTGGGAGACAAAGCAAACCTTATGACAATGGCATGTAATGATGTGCCATCCTGGAGGAGTTGAACTGCCTGTGCAAGCTCTGTAGGGTCCCAGGTATCGCCTCATGCTACCAGTAATGACAGTGACACTAGCAAAAAGCAAAAAAAAGTGAAAAACGGTGAGAAAATATGAGAATGGTAAAAAAAAAAAAATGTCAGTGGCTTCCACCTGTAAAACCATTCCTGTTTTTGGGGTCGTCTCATTGTTGCCCATCTAGTGCACCTGTTGTTAATTTCATTAACACCAAAGCAGCTAAACTTAACAACCCCCCCTGCTACTTAATTTTTTTTGCGCAGTGTATAACCTGTAGTGTTTACTATTAACTTTGGGTACACTGAACTATATTTTGTCATAAAAGAAAATCCATTGCAAGGTCTTTCAAAAACCCAATTCGGTGCATGTAAAACATATTCCAGCACAGAACTATGTATGCACTGCTCTGTAAAGAAGCCCTAAATGCTGGTTGAAGACCCATAGGGAATGCTATAGCCCATTCTAGATGCTTTGGCCATATATAGAATGATGTACTAAATCAACATCAATGATAGGGGCACTTGCTGAGCATTGCAGCTGGCACACAGAATTCTGCCTGCATTCATTTTTTTCTTTAGGGAAATTCTAATTTTCTAAATTAAGCCCTTTTCAAAAAGCCAACAGATAAAAAGGAAACCCATACAGTATACCAGGCCTAATATTTTCCTATGAGTCTACTTAAAGCGGAGCTCCAGCTTCAAGCCCCCCCCCCCCCCCCCAAAAAAACAAAAATCAAAAGTAAGCAGCTACAAATACTGTAAGTGCTGACTTTTAAAATAAGGACACTTGTCCCTGGATCCAGCCTTGTCCTCGCCCGAACCAATTCTTCAATCATCTTCGGGTGTAGGTGTCGGCATCTTAAGTAAGGGAAACCAACAGTGCAGCCTTGTGGCTTCACAGTGGGCCTCCTCCTGCATATGCATGAAGCACGCTGAGTTTTGTGAATGGTCCCACTGTTTTCTGGGACCTGTGAAATGTCAGGCATGCATACAAGCACGTGGGGGCCATACAAACTACTAAGTACCATTTTTAAGTTGCTGCAATGAAATTTCAGCAAAATGGACTCGCCTGATGCATCATTTTTTCACTTTGATTTTCGGGGTGTCTTTGAATTCAGTCTCTGTAGGTTGATAATTTTCATTTCCATCAAACGACGGGGCTTCCTTACATTCATAACACATTACCCAGTCCATATCAGAATAGATATCCAGCATAAGATTTTACCCCATTGAGATTGGATGTGTTTTCAAAGTGTTCCTTTACTTTTTTGATCAGCATATATTGTTCAGTCATGTCATTGTGTCATATTGCAGCCAGGGGGCAGTGCTCTCTTCCAGGAGAAGAATGTGCAATTTCAGGAGAGATTGTTGTGCAACTTTCTGCTGTGCAGGCGGTTCTGCTTGGATTGGTTAAATCTGCTTTGTGAGCGACTCATTCAATATGTTTCCCCTGCTGTCTAAATAAACACAAGCATATAACAAAGGTGTTTGTGAAGCCCTGCAGGAAATTATACCATTTTTGTAAAATGACAGTGATAACCTAGGTAGTAATAAAAGTCATTGTTGCTGATGATTATCATGGTTATTATCATTGCTGATATTACATAATACAGTTGTTATGTTCTGATCTTTTTGCATTCCTTGTTTACTGCAGCTGGTGATAGTTGTTACCTCTTCTTTCAGTCCCATATCCAGTCTGTATCCAAATCATCACCTCTGTGACATTTCCAGAATAAGCCCCTTCTTAACCAGTGACACCACTCTGCAATTCACTTCCTGATTAAAAGAGAAGTTCGGGAATTGAACCCCCCCCCCCAAAAAAAAAAAAAACAAACATTCATTTTCACCTAGGTGGATGCAGCATTGATCCATGCTGTGTCTGTCCCCTGCTGCCTCTAAGACTGAATACTGAGTTATCAAAGACCATTGATTGCTCAGTTCTCAGTCTTCAGTGAGCAGAGAGCTGTCTGTCTCTGGCTCTCTGATCTGCCCTCCAGTGCTCACTGGAGTGCCAGGCTGTGGAGGGGTAGCCTCAGTCTCTCTGCAGCTTGCTGAAAGGCTGAGCCAGCTGCCAGTCAGGAATCTGATTGGATCCTGACTTTAAAGTGGTTGTAAACTCTTACTTATACCCAATGAAGTGGCTGGCCTCAGATGATACACAGAGATGAAACAAATCCCCCGACAGAAGTTGTACCTGTTTATCTGGAGTCCTCTCTCCCCCACATCCATTCTAAATGCAGAATTTACATAGGATGTCTCAGCTTTGAAATGCGGGGATGGGGGGGGGGGGGGGGGGGGGTCTGGGTAGAGCTGAAGTTACAGTAGTGAGGAGAGCTCTGTGAGCTGATTGGAGGGAACAGACAACCCCCCCTTCATACA